AAACTTTTTGTTAGCAAATTATTCGCTTTTTAGAAACTGGCTGCTTTGCCGTTTTCATAGTATCAAGCAAATACAATAAAATAATAATAATGCATTTCTGCTAATACGTTTTATGAAAAAAATGTTTGAATTGCTAGTTAAATTTAATTTTAAGCTGTATGCAGCGAGTTTTGCAACTAACAAAGGTGTCGCTGTAATTAACTTTAATGACTAGCCTTTTTTAATCCCTATACATTTGCGAAAAAAATATAACTCACGAAAAAACATGCCAGATTGCTTCGTGCCCAAATAAATTTCTCTACAAATAAAGTATAATTATTCAAATGAATATTTTATATGCATTTGCATACATATCATTGAAATTGACTTTGATGAAATATTTGATTAAGAGCAACAACCGTATGTGCATACATGCATGCATATGTACGTATACATATGTATATATGTAAATGTTGCCAATGTTTTGACTTTACGAAAAATAACAAAAAGAACAGAGAAACGCTAACACCAAAAGATTTGCATGTTTTATTTATTTTTTTTTTGAATGAAATAGGGAAAAATGATGGATTGAAACACTTCTTGGAACTTAATGAAATAAAAGTTTAAAAAATTATGTCGCAGGTGTAATTTATTATTGCTTTAGCGTACAAGCGTCATTATGTGCGACAGGAATATTCGTAATGACAGTAATTAACATTAACATTAATTAATATAAGTAATAATCGCTTAATAGGCAGCACATGATGCTACTTTTCACTTCAAAATTTAGAAAAAACTTGTTCGCTCTCCAGAAAAAGATGTTTTAATTTAGTAAAAATAAACAACAACGAATTACTGTTAATAAAAATATTATCAACTTTATTAGCTTTGAAATATGAGCTCTTCTACATATAAATATATATGTATGTATACAGCAGCTTAACAGCTTCGTTTAAACACCTCATTATACGAAGCCGTTTTCAATTGTACAAATATGTAAATCGTCAACTGAAATGCAAAAAGTCGTAGCTAAGAAAAAAATTCAAAATTCAGTTTTTGATTGATGATGGATTTTATCGAATTTATGGAAAAAAACAAACAAAAATTTGTCAAGACTTTTTCCACTTCAGTTAAAAATGTTGTTAGGTCTTTTTGCATTTTCTCGCCAGAAAAAACGGTAACGTAATAAAATATAAGTCAAGTATTTGAACAATTTTAGCCTTAATTCGATTATTTAGGCGAAAACGAGCCGCAGTTACTCATTTTTCCATTGTCACTCAAAAAAATCATAATTGTTTTTTTATAACTTTTTGAAGTTTTCAAATAGAATATTCACATTAGAGGCAATGGACGTTGACATCAAACACCACATATCTGTGAAGTTTCAAGAGTGTGCCACCAAATTAAAAAAAAAGTGCAGCGCATTTTGTAATTTTTTAAATTTTATGATATTTTTTTTAATAGAATAATTGCAGACATTTCAAAATGTTGAAGTTAAACGGTGAAAATATTCTTCATGGCAAGATGAACGAGTCTAATGCAATACAACTAACGTGCCACCAAATGAAAAATTTTCATTGTGTAAAAGATGACTATGATTTAAGAAACTGAAATTCCATTTTTAATTGACTTCCAAAAAAGGAGGAGACTATCAGTTCGTTGGAATATTTTTTTTTTATGTATGTTACCGCATAACTTTGGACCACCTCAACCGATTTCGATAGTTCTGCATCAGAAAGGTAGTGTCTCAGAGGTGGTCCCATACTTATCTGGTTTAGATCCGATCATTGGATCAGGAAATATATATATATATATATTTTAAGTCGGTTTTTTTTTCGCTAAAAATTACTTGTTACAATTTTTTTTATTGATACATTCGAAATTTATTCTAAAGTTATTTTATACTAGCTTATACCCGCGGGTTTCACCCCGCGCTTTTATACAAATATGAAAAACTAGCTTATACCCGCGGGTTTCACCCCGCGCTTTTATACAAATATGAAAAACTAGCTTATACCCGCGGGTTTCACCCCGCGCTTTTATACAAATATGAAAAACTAGCTTATACCCGCGGGTTTCACCCCGCGCTTTTATACAAATATGAAAAACTAGCTTATACCCGCGGGTTTCACCCCGCGCTTTTATACAAATATGAAAAACTAGCTTATACCCGCGGGTTTCACNCTAAGTTATCAATCCCTCTAAGTTTACCTTAAAATGGTTCCAGGTATACGACGCGTGAACGTGTAACCTTCTTGGAGGTGCCTCGGCGGGTTCTAATATTTCCAACTCAAATTTAGTAACCTGGCCTTGATAAAATACCACTTCTCATTACTGTAGCAAATGCCTCAAGAGAGCTTTAGATTATAAGGTCGAACCCGGCTCTCCCTTTTCCATTTAATGAAATTTATTCTGTCTTCCACAAACNTCTGTGCGAAATGTCATGCAAATCTGTTCAGTCGTTTCCGCGTATTAATGTAATTAAAACTTTTTTAACAGGTGGCAACTCTTCCAAAAAATTAGCCTATTTCCTCTGTAGGTCACTAGCTATCTGCTTGCAAAATTTCATGCACATCCGTTCAGACTTTTCCGCGTATTAATTTAATTAAACTTTTATAGCAGGTGGTAACTCTTAAAAAAAAGTAGCCTATTTTTCAACCTAACTCATAAGCTATCTGTGTGAAAACTTCCATGCAAATCAGTTCACTCATGTCCGCGTATTAATTAAATTAGCCATTTCTAACAGGTGGCAACTCTTAAAAAAGTAGCCTACTTACTAACCTAGGTCATAAGCTATCTGTGTGCAAAAGTTCATGCAAATGCGTTAAGTCGTATCCGCGTATTAATATAATTAAGCTTTTTTAACAGGAGTTCTGAATCAGCTCTTTGAGAACTTTAGGATGTTTTCCTACTATAGTCGTCCAGTTCGTCCGTGGAAGTTATGCTTTCACATGCTGAGCACTGCAATCGCCTTACCAGACTATTTATTGTAGATACCTTACTTTAGGAGTAGTGTTACCAGATGTTTTTCCAGCCATACAGGACAAACGCATCATTTGTCCCAAAAATACGGGATTCACAAAAATTTAATTGTCCCCGTGACAAATAAAGGTTTTGCTTTAAAAGCACCATATATTGACAAAGGTGATCTATTTCAACGAAGTAATGCTCAGACTAGTTATAAGCTTATGATATATTTGGTTTATTTCATGGCAACACCTTTTAATTTATACAGAGATATGTATGTACGTAAACATATAATTAACAAAACCATAAAAACAATGTAAGAGGTACAGTTTCGGTTAAAATAATAGCAGCGAAATTCAAAATGATGCTGTTGGCAACTTATCTTCATTTATCGTCATGCCCTGCAGCATGCCTCATATAGCGCGTGTCTAGTAACAGATGCTCCTCCATCCCCGCCCCTAGCCCCTAGCAAAATTGGAATAAATCTCACCAAAGATCTGCCTTTGGAATGGCATGTTGGCACTCCAATATCTTAGTGGACTCTATCTTTTGACGAATGTGCAGAATGACGTAAGTCCAATAGGTCAAAAATAACTGAGTGTCATGTTCAGGGAAGTCATTGACGATATTTTTTCAGGTTGGGTAATTAAAAAACTAATTTTTTTTTTTAGTGTTTTAAGTCTCTATTTGTTTTACTATTTGCAGATCCTCCGCAGCTCTGTATTTAAAAACTATACATATACCTTTGCGGAGACGCGGTAACACTTTAAGTCCCCCCTTGCAGGAGATTGTCGATCAAAAAACCTGGTGGCCCACAATGTTTATTTGTTGAGTTTATCCACTTCCCCTGGGTGAATTCCTAATGCGATATTTTATGCTATACATACTATTTATATGTGCAAATTTATAAGCTTATACTCATACAAGTGTTTAAGATGATATTTAATTTTAATACGTGTGGATTTTGTAACATTAAATGTTTTACAGAAAAAATTGTATGGCATACTCGAATTTTACGTTCGATTCTAAGCAAAAATGGTGAACAAACTATATACTAAAAATTACGTTTGACCTTCGCAATTTTTAAAAGAAAAATCAGTGTATTACCTGAATGAATTTACAAGATTTTGTGTTTTCTTCATATTGAAGAAAATATTTCACAAACAAGAGAATATAACAAATTATGTATGCCGTTTTTTGGTGCCTACAATTAAAAATATATTTCCACCAAAAATGTTATAATATACCAGGGACCGTAAATACAGTTATTTTTTTCAACAGTTAAACTTGGTCAGATTATTTTTAAGTCAGAAATAAAAGTATTTCCGGATAGTAAGCAAACCGCTTATCCAAATTAAAACAAATTTGGTACTAAATGAAAGAGGTGGCTTTTAAACATAAATAACGAACGAAGGTTACAACTTCTATTATTTGGTACTAAATGAAAGAGGACTTAAATAGCTTTTAAACATAAATAACGACCGAAGGTTACAACTCCTATTTATATTTATTTTTAAAATTTAATACAAAAGAAATGTTTATACCTGGCGCAATGTTTGTTCTATGGTAATTAAAAACATTTTTTATTGAAATATTTTTCCTCGTTTAAATCTATTTTAGCCCTCTTTTAGTTGATACCAAACTTGTTTAATATGCATAAGCGGTTTGTTTGTTATTAGGAAAAGACTTTTATTTTCGACTTAAAAAAAGTAACTGTTATTTACGGTCCCCGCAATATACTATACTGCTTTTCTTTTTGAAAAGTGAAAGGATTAAACGTCATTTTTTGTATATACATAGTTTGTTCGCTATTTTTGCTTAGAATTAATCGTGGAATTTAAATTTTCCATACACTTTCTTCGACAATTTTGCTCCGAATAAATTACTTCGCCCTAATGTATGTATTTATTTCAATAGAAGGGGAATATATAATACCAAATGAAATACACATTTATATACATATGGATGTACTTTCTCCTATTTTTGTCACCAAAAAAATATTGATGTTTTCGACATTATTTTAATCTGTGCGTCATATTTTTTGTAATTTTTAGATGAATTCACGTGACGAACCGGAAAAAACATTCAAAGTTGCCATGCCTGATAACGCCTATGCTACAGTTTATCTACGTGATGCCATGTCGGTGGAGGAATTTCTGGCTAGCGCCTGTGCACGTCGCAATCTCAATCCAATGGAACATTTCGTACGTGTGAAGAAGCGACGTGACATGGAGGATCACAACTACTTTGTGCCACACCGAAATGATTTGATTGAAAATTACGTAAGTAAAAGAACCCAATTAAAACAACATAAATACATATTTAGGGTGTACCATATATGTTATCAAAACGCCATGAATCCACTTGAACATATTTTTAAATAATAATAAAAAAAAACTAGCCAATGCCAAGTGGAGCAGAGATGGAAAATTAAGTTTTTCAAATTGTACCTCATTTGCGGCAGAAATTGTGCTTTAAGGTAGATAAAACATATTTTAATACACTTATTTTATCAATGCAATTTAGTTAAGCTTTCAGACATGTGGCAACCTTCCTCAAACATATTTTCGACTGTAAACCTTCTTAAAACTCATTAGTTTGACACTCACACGGCAATATTTCATTTATTTTACCAATTTAATTGAGCTAAATTTTCAAACAACTGGGTCTTTTAAAAACACTTTAGGTTATAACCCACATTGCAATATTTCGTTTGTTTAATCAATTTAACTCAGTTTAAATTTTCAAATAGGATGGAACCTTCCACAAAAGTATTTCCAAATGTTTTCTTTCAGCCTCTTCAATTTGATTCCTATACCAATTAAATTTCGCTAAATTTTTTAACAAGTGGCACCCCTCTTTTAAAATATTTTCTACTGTAAGCCTTCTTAAAACTCTTTAGTTTTTACTTAATCAGCTTAACTGAGTCAAAATTTTAAAATTGGTGGCAACCCTTCTCAAAAATATTTCCAACAGCTATATTTCTTAAACCTCTTTAATTTGATACCCATATTGTAATATTTCATTTATTTTATCGCTTTACTTTAGTTAAATTTTCAAACAGGTTGCAACCCTCTTCAAACATATTTTCGGCTGTAAGCCTTCTTAAAACTCTTTAGTTTGACACCCACATGGCAATATTTAATTTATTTTAACAATTTGAACTAAGTTAAAATTTTCAAATAGGTGGCAACCCTCCAATGCCAAAAAAGAATTATTTAAATTCGTTCAGCCGTTCTCGAGTTTTGGCGACCGTGACATACGAACAAAACATTTTTATATATATGTGACACGTAAAGTTAAAAGGGACCTACGGTCAGAAAAAATCGGTTTTCACTTTTTCATCGACTCTTATAGTAAACGGGAGACTCTTTCCAATGCAATAAACCGCAGCTTTCTAGCTGCCTTAGTTCTTTCACAATTTCACTTCAAAATTAGGTTATTCACAAAAAGTTCATTCAAAAAAGAGTACAAAAAAATCAAATCTGACAAACTATTCTGAAATCAATTAAATTCTCTTGAAACTCGTTACTCGGGGGTTTTCGAACATCGGATTCGTAATCACTGACCTCGTTTTCGGTGTCAACGACATTTTTGAGTTTCACATGTGAATAACTCAGTGAGAGGGGAGACCAGTATTTGCATGTATGTATTTATAAAAAAAAATATTTATTGGTTCAAAAATGGTGGGTAGGAACTGTGGCCAATGGCAAAGTTCGTTTGCCACCTCTGCATGGTTTTAAGTCATGCAGAGTCCGCAATATGCTCCGGAAGCAGTGTCCGGAGGATGCATCAGACTAGGCCGAGCATACTTTGAAGTGCCATCTAATTAGAACTTAAGAAAGTTCAATTACATGGCAGTGGAGAAGTGCATGTGCAAAAATTTCCTAAATTGCATAAAGGAAATTTTTGCACATGCAGCAGTACATAGCATGTATTTAGGCGCCTGGTGTTAGCAGACGCGCCTAAACAACATGAATCCGAACAAATTTTAATTTTTTTCCGCCATATTGGATCCACCATTTTGAATTTTTAAAAACAAACATCGGATTCGTAATCAGCGACACCCAGGGTAACTTTACGTGTCACATATAGATAGATATTCACATAAAAAGTTGCATTTTTTAATTTAAATGTACTACTGCCATACTACGAAAAAAGCACTGAACAATTATGGAGTGAAGACGTTGGGAATTCGCTTAAAACGAAAAAAAAAAACAAATTTGTGGCCAGGCCGACATATATTTACCCCCCGGGCCCGGATTCTCTCGCGAAGGCCCTGGGCATAGGTTAACATATCGAACCCTAGCTGCCAAAAAAATTTAAATGACATTTTTTCAGAATTTACTTTTCGATGCAGTAGTGCATCCAGATGCTAAAGGAGCATTTCTGCATCAAAAATAACTACTTTTAAAAATCGTAGCTTACATTTTTTTTTTTGGTGGCTAGGGCTCGATATGCTCCATATGTAGATTGTCAGTCAGATCAATATAAACTCCTATAAATTTTTCTATTTATAGTAAGCACCTTTCTTAAGACAAGAACATTCACCCTTTCTTGCATACTTTTTGGAACTGCCACAAAATAACCCAGCTCTTTGCGGCAACACAAGCTTCATATTTAGTAATCAGAATGCAAATATTACTTTGTTGATATACATATTTATTCGCAAAATTTAGTTGCACCGATATCAGCGACCACGAGGAAACCAAAAACTTTATTTCGCAAAAAAAAACATAAACCATTGACCAGAAATAACTACGGAAACTCAACGACCTGCCGACGTTACTCGTATCGTCAACATTATCAAGTAACTACTTTTAATGGCAAACAATGAAGCAAATAACTAAAAACCAAATGCAATACAACTAAAGGAACAATGTGCGGAAAAAACGCATAGAATGAGAGCTACAGCAACGATGCCATGCACATGCATACACACACATACATATATTTGTATAAAAATGTGTGTATTTAATGCAACTTTTGCGGTCAACTTTTCCTTTACTTGAATGAAAACTTGTCTATTTTGATGGGCGAACGATTGAGCATGACCACATATAAATTAGGGTGGTCTAAAAATGCATGTAACGATTTTTGTTTTATTTATGGGTTCCCCCTCCCTCCCATGCATTATTTTTTTTGACACTTGGGGACTTTTGAAAAATAGTTATACTACAAAACGGTAAATTAAACGAATGGGTATTATTGATGGAAGTCTGCCGAACAGAGTTTTCCAACTGAAAAATATTGATTTTCAAGAATTCTATACCATTTCTACGAAAAACAAAATACATTGAAAACGCGTTGAGCGACCTCTAAATAGTTTCTGACTTCAAACTAAAACACTGCTGTATATTTTTTTGGGGGTGACGAGCTTTAAAATTCCGACTTTACTCTTTTTTTTTTTGTACCACCCTAATGTACATACATACATATATAGGTATGTGCATGCAAGTGCTACAATTTAAGTGAACAACCATTGTTGTTGCTACTAATGTTGTCACCAATACGTCCACTCTCGCTCTATGAAACTATGCTCCCCCTCAAATCAGGTTCAATGTGTTGAAATAATTGAGCAGCAGCCCTGGCAGCTAGACCATGGAGTACAATAACATCTTCCCCGCCTACGTCGCTGTCCTCCTAGTCGCCGCAATAGTTGTCACCACTAGTTGACAGTAGCCAATGTGAAATGACACATATGAATGAGCATCAGCAAACAGTTTTTAAAGTATATACATACATGGCATACACATGAACATTCAAGTTACTTGAAAGCGCTGGAAACTCCTTCCAACATTTGAAGTGTTCATTCACCCTTTCAACTTGCTTACTAACGAGTGGTTCATGGTTGATATCTACCAGCTGCCAGCTGCCCTCCAAGCAAAAGTTTGCAATTAACAATTTCATTAAAGCCTTCATATGCCACAATGTCGTCGCAAGCGCTGTCGAAAGTCATTGACATTCGAGTGGCATATGAAAGGCGAGTTGAAAGAAATATGGCAAGGAGAATAGCAGCTAAAAATAAAAAATAAATACCTAAAGGAAAACGTTACAAAAAAAAAATAAAAATTGGAAAAAACTACAAGAAACACACACCTCATTTTTTAAATACACTGATTTAGTGAGCGAACGAACACACGTGAACTACAATTTGCATATTTCAGCGAATGTCTGCTTAGCATAGTTTTGAAGTTTGTATAGAAGAGGTCATGTGTGATACGCGTAATTACATCAATTCGAATGAGTGGTACACCCACCCACATGCATACATGTGTTCATATACTAAATATACACATATCGGTGATATATAAAAATGCATCAGCGCATGCATCCGGCCAATGTCACAAACCACAGCTGAAAGTTTTAGAGTGTTATGGGAGCTGCGGCAAAGTTTCTCTAAGGATGAAAGGAATTCCTGGTGAGAAACTTTTTAATTGCACAGGTGAAGTTTTTTAGCGTGAGATACACACATACATATACATAAATATGTATGTATGGATAAGTATTACTGAAAACTGAATGGCGTGCGGTTAAAGCTTTTATTTTCTCGCAAATTTAAAATTTAATATGTCTCAATCAATATTTTTACTATACCAAGAACTTGAAGGTAGCTTGTTGCTAGACGAATTACAAGAAAAACAACCATAAGCCCTTTCTATGAACCATAAATAACTGGCGCATTGTTTTGTGGCGCCGAGTTTATCCACTTATAATTTATTCTGCAAAACAAATCGATATCTCTAGCGCAGCTTAGCCGGCACTGAATTCAAGTATTTGTTTGTTTTTATTTATGCCAGCCAAAAATAGGGCACATACAGCTTCAGGCTGCTTCGGTACAGTGTGGAATATATTGGATTGTACCGTATAATAGGTCCACCCACATTAGACCGAAAATCAAATTTTACTAACTGCAAGTACATCTTTAAATTTTCTCATTTTATATTTTATACAGTAATCAAGTAGCTGCTTGCAATTGATTTTTAGTATAAACTTTTTTTTTAATTAAACGTGTATTTTCTGCAACCCGACTATAACTATAATAATTTAAATAAGTACGTGTCAAAGCGGTACCTGCTTTAGCTGAAACCTTAGCCTGGAAAGCCTTTTTGAATAAAGGCAGTGTCACACAATTGGTACATTAGTACAGACTTGTACATTTTTAAAAAAAACTGGGACCACAATTTTATTGCGGTCACACAATTGGTGCAATACAGCGAACTCATATTGAAAAATTTGCACAATTTTTTTTTGTGATTGGGATTTTTTTTAGTGGAGGTGG